ATCGATCTAAATACTCTACGACTCCAAGATGCATCTTTCAAAAGCGAATAAATATCGCGAAACGTTGTGCAGTTATGAAACAGCATAATTTCATGACGTTTTGTACCCAATGACCTACTAGTTGAATGAATAGGGCAGCTTAAAGCCTTGAGATCCAGTGGTTAATGCGGCGATACGAGGCGATACAGATTTTTTTTTCTTAGAAATCTTAAGTCACCTGAACTATAGCGTGAATTATGCTGAAAAAATATAATTAAAATTCATTCGCAAGTTTTGCTCGTTCGGCTTTAGATTAGTAGAAGTGACATATGTTCACTGTTTACGCATAAAATTGCTGCATCATCCTAGCGCATTCGAAACATGTTTCGTGTTGGAAAATATCGTGATCGGCCTTAAAAGCGTGCACAGACAGGCATTCGAGTAGTAAGAATCCTGTTTCGGCCTGAAACAAGCTGAGATTCCTAAGATAACAATTGATCAGTACTGCTTCGTTCGTTCGCTCACTTTTTCTTTCCCGTCATCCCGGTAGAAGTCCCTATAGGCGCGTACGTACATTAGCGATACATAGATATATATATGCAATTTGGTCCGATCTATTTGGCTTGCTATAGGGTCTCACTGCTGGTTCAATTAGCGACATTAATTTACTGCTTTGCTTTGTCGTTTCTCGTTTGTAGAGGAGCAAGGACGGCCGATCCATTGTTAGTTCTGAAGTTCAGATAACAAACGCTCAAGACTGACTACTATAGTTAATATCTATATTGCGTACAACGAACGGTTTCTGTGAAATAATGAAGCTGCTAGAAAATGTGGAGCCAATTGCTGACGCTGACACAGAGCCTCATTTTAGAATAACAACAACTATGAATATCTTCTTCTACTGTCGAATCTATTTATATCACTGACCGAATCGCCAGAGCCAAATCGAGTTCCACTATTCGCCCGTCCTGCCAAATGCATACAATCTTACCCTGAAGGTAAACACACAATAATGAGAAGTGTAACTAAGGAACAAGCTTTCTGAAAATGCTCATACTATATCAGTTCCTTGGCCAGTCAAAATAGAAGCAAACGCCGGTTATTTCTCGAGCCTTTAGCGCTATGGTAATTAAAGCAAATCTATGTGTTGCAGATGGTTAAATAATAGCTTATAATAAATAATAGTCTTTAATATGCGCTCACATCGTGAAAATTAAGTTAATCTAACATGTGTCACCAACTTTTCGCAACAAAGTCGCATCGCAAATTATGTCTGCCGTACAACAACAACAAAACAACTTGTCGATGACTGTCGATGGAAATAGCCGTAAAAAAAACTGGATACGAATGCCGTGTTTCGATATAGTCACGATATTTTCAATCCGACATAGCAAAAGCTGAGACGAGCGCCATTTGACTTGGTGCCATACATATGGGGGTATTCTGTTGTACCAGTCTTGGCGTAAGCGCACTTGATTGTTCTAATCAGTTTGGCACAGCGTTAGTTGTCTCACCGTAGGTATTCGTTCATAACGGTAACAGACCTAGTTATGGCAGAGCTCTCTATTTAGTTTACCGTAAACCCTATCGGCTGCTGCCATCTCCGTTGTCTCAGCCATATTCGTTGTTTCCATTTTCTTCGGACCGATACATCCAGAGGCGCTATCGTTTAATTTTGCCATACAGAGCGGGTCTCATGGATGCAGACTGTCTACTAGCAATTGCTTTGCAATGTTTCAGACGTTTTTTGAACGTTTGGCAAGACAGGCTCTGAAGTGACAAAGGCCCCCCCCCCCCCTAAGGAAATCAATGCGACTTCTGAAGCCTCAGGCTTTATTAGAATAATTCTATTTATGCAATACATATTAGTGAATATATGTATATATTCACTATTTACTAGTGCTATTATATTCACCACTGCTTTTCTAATTATGGTTAAGAGTAAATAATTATTATCAAATTTGACTTTTTCGTGCTATTGCCTGGCTATCAGACTCAGCCTATTACAGATTTCACGTTGAGCTACGTCAGATATTCACATTCATTTGCGAACCTAAATGCCTTCTAATACATATCCACACGTTCTAGTGTGAGTCCGATGAAAGTCAAAGATGATGGAGCCGCGCAAGTTACCTATTGCTTTTGCCAAACACATTGGACTATGCCAACTGGTAACAGCCATAGAGAAAATCAATATGACTTAGAATAAGATTAACAGCTTGCCAGGAAGTGACCATCTGCTTTAAGGCTGACATTTTCGAAACTTTTCGCTGGTCCTTCGTCTGGAGCTGAATTTATCTAGAGTAACAATTTCTATGCGCTTTTTGATTAGTTTGCCTTCTTTCGCTTGATGTTCTGTTAGAGAAACAGAAACCTGAATGGACGTTATTCAGAAGCAGAATAGAGCAGGACCAGTAAATACGGCAGCTATAGTGAGTATGAACGTAAATTTTCCGGATCAGAAAGCCAATATATTATTTTGGGTTAGGTTCTGCATCCGTACATGTATCCCCTTTTGCCACTGTCGATAAAACTGCGTGAATAACTAATCTGAGAAGCATTAAAATTAGCTTTTGTGTGATCTTTTGATGAAACGGTTAATTACATTATATTCCTATCTATTATTAGTAAATTCTATTTGATAACAAACGACACGCCTTGGCCGTTGAGCCTCTACGATAATTGAAGAGATATTGCAATATTTATCTGATTCCTACCAGTCACCTGAAAGGTTTAGGCGACTTGTATCACAACCGGAGCCATCTGGTGGTCTCCGCAAAAATATGTTATGCATCTATAGAGAATATGTATTGTGATACATGCTTTATGAATATAGCCTATAAGCTAATTGTGCCTTCTATTATTCCTCTGTGAAAAAAATGAACGAGTTCGGTGGAAATAGTTTTATCGAATTGAAGGTAGAAATCAAATGTTTTCGCTGTGAACATTCTAAAGCTCGTGTTGAGTCATCTGGATGCCGAATGGGTACATGTATGCTATAGTCGCTAAACGGTAGTATGGCATTTGTAGCTCAATGTTTGCAATCTTCTCGAATGATCCGACGACTCGAGAATTTGAGCTCATCGCGCATTTACGTTTAACGTAGACATTATTAGGCTTCCTACGTGTAGTGTTATATATCACGTTATCTTTTTTGCCCTGTTTACTTTACGATACCTGTATAAAAGTTTAATATAGTATATTTTAGGAATTGGTTCCCACCCTGTATTAGCCACTACCGCCCACTGCGGGAATATCGGCGCCGACAGATTTCAGTAATTACAAACAAAAACATTTTAAATTTAAGACATTAGTATTATTAGAAGACCACTGTAAAATTAGTAACTACTTTTCCGATTTCAAGAGTAAAAGGTATCAGGGCGCTTATCTCTCCATTTTCTTTCAACTTAATTTTTCACCCTCATTTCACGTAGACAAGTAACCAGATACCTTGAGTTTTACGTCCGGTATTGCCGTCTAGCATTGCTTCCCTCGGCGAAAATACATAGCAAAACTTTAATGAATAACTAATCATCTTATCTAAACAGATGCACATTAATCATCCGGTTACATGTGAGGGTCATCAATCACCTGCGGAGTACCCTCATCCGCAGATCACATCTGTAGACCGGTTGGTTTCGGGGATGGAGGTTTAGAGTGGCGTCTTTTACTTGCCCTGGATCGACATTAGTCCCCAATCATTCAAATGATAGGGGCAGCAGCAGCAGCAGCAGCTTGGTAACGAAGCGAGCTACCAGCCGGTTAAGTAAGTCTGTGAACACTGCAGTAGCTAAAACATCTGTCGAAACAGAAACAGTAAACTTTATACATGGCACCTTACACATTTCCAGCACTCTTCCGGGAAATTCGTCATTCAGAAGCGTCACTGTATAATTTGCAAACACATATTGTTTGGTGAATTTCTTCTTGCTTTCAATTGAAGCAGAAGGCAGATGAATCTATTCCTAAGCTATACGTCTGTCTTATTGAAGCTGACACTACTTAGAAAAAAAAAATAGCGCCGTCAATATGTGTGTCGGCTGTCCTTCTGACTTCATTGCAATTGTGTCTTAGTGGAGCTCCTGCACTTTGTCAAGGGGTCTAGTTAACTTCAATTCAATACAGTAGCTATTGACATACCTCTTAGAATGGCTTCTAATTTCCCGTAATGGCAATTACCTCCTTTATTGCTCTCTGCCTTGTTGACTATTGTGGCTCCTTAGCTGACTCTCCTATAGGAGAACAATTCCTATAGTCACACACAGTTCCGATTTGCATGTGCCTCGAGGGACGCACATGCCCTGTGCCTGTTATGTGCTTGCTATTGCACAGTCATAGGACATAGCGGACCCAGGGATTATCCTGTGACATTGTCACTCTAGCAACACCATTGTTGCAGCTGCTAACTGTTCTTTTTTTATTCATTCAAGTAGTTTATGCATTCACGAGTTATTCAACTAAGATCAAGTTGCACAACTTCAATGTGACTAAAAGACATTTGGTGTGAGCCTATCAATGCGTCCTAATTACGCTGTCAAGAATTGTTCCCCAAGGTGGGCTGTTAAACATACATTTTATATTTAATGTAATGTAAAGACGTACCTTGAGTACACATCATTTCTCTTTAGCTAACTAGCATGTCTTACAATATTATGCTTGATATATTCTGCCCTTTTAACTAGATTTTCGGAAATAAATTCAATCATCTACAATACACAATCATCTACTGCTGTTTTCCTTGTTATCCTTAAAAATGGAAAATTGAGAAGTTGTTGGTATAAATAACGTTCTTTATTTCTGCAGGTTGTCTACGATGTGTCTGGGCGGGACTTGAAACAATGACCCTTGGCGCTCTTTGAGCCATGGGCTTGACGGCCTAGGCCACCGCATCAGGTTTTTTTTAGGAGCCCAGTTACAAGCAAAGGCCTACATGATGAGCCATTGTTTTTACGGTTGATGTTACGTGTACGCATAACGGCTACATACAACATCGAAAATTCGACGAGACTATAAGCTCTTACCAGTAAAACTGCGTAGAATGCAAATTTAGGAATGTGTACGAGACTTCCACAATATACGTTTGCCTGTAAAACATAAGTACGCATAACACTGTTAGCGTTTGCAAATGGATAGCTGACAACTTTTCATATAATTGCAAAAGCTCAATATTTTAATATAACTTTTGTTAAATAATTTTCCGTACAAATCTTTATTGAACAAAAATTTGATCCGTAGAGACGTCCAAAGTGTATCATCTTTGTATATTTTGTTTAGGATCTAATGGGAGTTGTAAGCAGCCCTTGTCTCGCGTTTCTAAGCGTAACTTTGTAATAATACTATACTAAAATATACGTTCAATTAAATAATATTTACCCTTCACCATCGCGAGCAAATAAACATCAAGTACATCTACAGTTTAAATTATGTTAGCACATAAATGTGTTTCGCAGGGCAAATAATTGTCATGGCTGATTTACACCTCAGAGAAACAAAAAGCCTGGAGAAGGAAACAAAGTGAAGGAGGTGCTGCTAATGTGATTATCTCACCGGTCCATAGAATCGGAGGAAACAAGGGCAGGTTCAGCAAGACTTGTTTTGGAACACTTCCAATGATGGCTAAGACTTTAACGAGGATGATATCATAAGCTTCTGTAACGTAAGCCGCTGATTCAAATCCCGCGCGAAGGTTTCTTTGAAAAACAGATTTGATAGACGGATGAATCGAAAAAAAAAAAAGAACTATCAACAATGCCAGATGACCTATGAAGCCTGCGCATTTATGAGACTGAACGCATACATCTTATGGAACAGTGACTAAAATACTTCAAAGCCGAAAAGCTATGAGGCACTTCAGGCTGCATGATTAGTCAGGGCAAATCTTCTTAATGAGAGTTGAAGCTTAATAGCCCGCTTTTTTGACAGCCGTTTATGGTGGCCATCTAACTTTATTTATGTACTCTGCGTCGCATCATAGTCACATGTCATAAACTTGCACATTTCACACAACCGCAGCCCCACAGAATGAACTTCTTCGTATTTAACAAACGGTAAAAATTATAACGGTTGCATAAAGACAAATAAAACGATAGAAATATAAAAGGAACTTGTGCAATTTGTAGAGTAGGAAAACGGATTAAATTCCACTACTGTTACCGGCGTCTGTCTGGCTAGCCATTTTTCTTGACTGTATGTTTCAAACATCGGCTTTTAAGGGTATATTTAGTTACGTTTTCCAATATAATGCTTGTTCTATAATTGCAATTGAAGATTTTTCATGTACTTATCTAAGTGATGAGCACACCGATATAGTGTCATCATTTACTCACTTCGGCTCCATCTCACTCTTAAATGTTGAAATAATTTTGGGTGTTTCCAGTTAAATGCATTGACGACAACAGGAAGATAACAGCAGTACGCTAAGACAAGGGTGCCGTTGTGTACCAGATTCGGTGGGAAAACTATGACCCAAAAAGGAAGGCGTTGAAACACTTTCAACGGCAAAATGAGAAATAGAAAACAACAGCAGTGACAACAGTCGCTAGCGAGGGTAATTCCAGCGCTGAATAAAAGAAAGGAAAGTGTGGAGGCACCTCTATACATTTGTAGGTAACGGTGACATTGCGCTATTGTTGACATTGTTGCTATCACTTCTTGGCATGCGCTACATGGGGCTGCTGGATCGCTTTAGACTTTTTGTGTCAAAGCGGTAACTTGTAGGATTCGTTTCAGAGTTCGTGTCTCGTTTCAAAATTTACAATTTGCTCTGGGTAACCTTCCATTTTTTAAAGCTATATACTCGTTTTTAAGATTGCATTTAATGCATAGCTCTTTTCAATATGAAGATAGCACTTTAAGGTAAAATAGAAAAAAATTGCTAGCGTATATTTCTTAAAGAAGAAAAGCAGTACGATATATATATATATATATATATATATATATATATGAGAAGCTGCTCCATCCAAAAATCTGTGGGTAGTTTGAGGGCCTTTATGCTACATCTGGTAAAATATTGTAAAATCGAAAGTAAGAAAAATAAAGTGAAAATTCCCAGTGTGATTTCTGTTAAAGTGATAAGAGACTTTCCCCACCTTGAATATATACATATATATGTGCATATGTTGCAGTATATATGTTTATACTGTAATAGACTACAATCGCTCAAGTTACGATTTTTTTTTCTGAAGCTGCAAATGGAGCACCTTGTTTACAACTTTTTTTAGTTTGTTAATAAAAATCCGTTTCGCTGAGGTAGTTTTCATATACTAGAAATGTTTTATATTTTGTATTATTCATCTTTCGTTAGTGTAAAACCCGTCACTTTTATGACAGCCAATTTACGCTGCTGTTTTACTAGTTATCATACCAACAAATAGTTTGCATTCTGTCAATATAGTATCGCAAGAATGCTATGTTATGACCCGTTGCAACTGAAGCTGATAACAACTTTATAGCCATTTTGGCAAAATCAGAGAAAGGAGATTTCGTACTATTAAACCATTTGATTTTAAACATGAAAGGGCAAGCGAGGTGAGTCAAAACTTGATTGAATATAGAATATAACTTGCTATACAATAAACGATATATAAACGAAACGATCCGAAGCATTTTATTTATAAATACCGTCCATCTAGCTTAAATAAATTGATCATATTCTAAATAAATTTGGACATACATCTATTAAATTTGCGACGCTCTCAAACAACTTTGCCAATACTGAACGGCGTTCCGATAACCGACCAAACGCTTTTCATACAGCGGTCTCACTGTTTTCACACATATGGAATATGTGCATAGAATATGCTGCTATTAGCAGTGATCACCCCTTCTAGCCATGTGCACCTTATTTTTTAGCCTGCCACCGTTTCTTACTGAACTGTCTTGACCTGCTCCAACAAAAGCAAAAAAAGCTTGTCACATTTACGCTTGTAACGTATATCATAGCGACTATAGTGTTATTTCAAACAGGGGCAATGATACCCCTTACTGGTGTGAAAAGCATCAATCGAACATTGCTTAACTACAATAAAAAATATAAATCTATACATATTAGACTAACTGCAGCTAAAATTAAACTGGATTTTCAAGCATCGTCATGATTTAGTAAGATATTATGGATGGTTAGTGATGTTCCTTCGGGTGCGCTTAAGAGCTGCAGTAGACATGGATTTGGCACTATGTAAATTTTACCATTTTTATCATTTAGGATTATTATGTCGAGCCTGTTTTCGACGAACGAAAATTCTCACATGTAACGTTATTGCCCTATAAATAAAGATGCATGGAAAAAAATTTCAAGGAGTGACCTTAAGGCCTAGGTATTAACTTTCATATGTATAGGTAATATTCTTCCTCGTCATTATATCATTGTTACGTGTGGGCCAAACTTGCCATCTCTTTTGCTTGCAACGTCGTGTTTAGGCTGTCTATGCGGACGTATCGACGCTTCGTTTACTGCAACTATTTTTTGGTTACTTCGTTTACTACCCACTTTTATATGTTTGCTTTGTAATAGTTTTATGGCTGATACTAATTTTGCAAACATGAATTTTGAATTAATGTATGTAAATGAACAAAATAAAGGCGTCTGCATTGAAATACTTCACAGGTAGTTATATTTATTATTTTATGCTGTATGCACAGAACCATTTGATATCGCACACTCCGAGAAACATAATATTTTCCAGGACCTCATGATTGTTAAAACATTGTATTTAAACGAACTCCAATTTGGCGTTAGACTGGAAAACGTCTGCCACGGGATCTGACACGGTTTTGTTTGTTGTCGTGATAAACACGATCGATACGTGGTAGCAATAAAATCTACCTTGCTCGATCAGCTCTCTTCCCTTCTTACCCAGCCTCGTTTCGTCAGGACGGTGTGGCCTGAATGGCTGGAAGCATTTCTCTGAGTGCGGTACCAAGGAAAGCATGACCAACGAGCATAACTCAGCATTTGCAAAATTATCAACTAAGTATGAATAATAAGGAAAACAAGAAGTGAACAGTGATGTACTGTTATTTAGGGTAATAGCTGATTGTATGATTGCAATGCCATTTATGTAACCACGGATAAAACCAATCATATTCTCTATGAATACAATCCTAATAGGGGGAAGTCCTCGATTGTATGGATCAAAATCAGTGATCCTGGAGATTTACTTACGAAAGGTTAACAAAAATAATTCTCTACAAATAGGATACAACTGTATATTCATCGGTAAGTACGATGTAACCTTGCTTCCTAGTTGTCTTAAGCACCGTAGTGTCTTCAGATCGGTTGACAAGGTTTAAAAATAGTCAGATTTCAGAAGTCGTCCAAGTGACAATGTTGGAAAATTAAAGTCTCTTATCTGAGCAAGCCGTAATCAATATTTTCCATTATTAGTAATGAATATTAATTCTGAAGCACAAACAGGTGACTACTTTTTAAACCTGTATGAAAAAACATTAATAGTTTTTGCGTTCAACACAATCACCTTTCACTTGAGGCCTCATCCGTATTCTATACAGTTTTCACTAATTTTAACATTAACACCCGCTCTTACACCTTGCTAGTTATTTCGGCCAACATTCTAAATATTGGTTGGTTCACTTCTTCAAGACGATATCTCGCTACCTAGCATAATATCAGCCAGAACTAGTTGAAATTTATATCCTTACGGCTGACTTTTCTCTCCCACTCTTTCGCACGTTTTCCCTCTATCCCTTGTTCGGCGCTTCTCAATGGTGTTTTCTACTTTTTAGCAAAGGCACCGTTTCAGTAGACGAGCACTATCCAGCACCTACAACTGCCACAGCAACACCAGCAGCAATCACAACGACTAGAACGATGCAATCTATCCGTTTTCGTGCACTGGCGTAACCAACGTGGTCGCAGTTGTTGGGGCTGCTGGAGGCAGTAATGCCGAGTTGACCCACTTTTGGGCAGGTAACGGCCAGCCAGTCGGCAGCAGAAGTCCGGTAGTACCAAGCGCCGAAGCAGCTTTTCACTACTTGTGCTAGCGACGGCCGTATCACTCCGGCGTCTGGCTCTGCCAATGACGGCGACGTCAAACAGCAGTAGAGCATCAGGAAGAGGCGAAAAGAAAATGAACAACGGACAAACGGCAAGGAAATAGTTTGCTTGCAGACGCGGTAGTAACATTAACCGCAAAGTTGAGATAAGGCTCTGTAGTTTACATCTCGACACGATTTTCTGGAATTTGGCCAATTTTTGGAGTAAGAACCCGCGTGTGTGGCTGTTTTTTATTCGGTGATTTTGGCAACTACTACTACGGCAAATATGTGCAACTGTCTCCGCATACGCGTTTATGTAAATTTGTGTATTTTTGTTTCCCCTCTTTCTTGTTCGTGATGCGGCTGTGTTAATATCTTGCAGGTCGTTCTTCCTTGAATGGTCTTTTATTTTCTTTTTCCAGTATGCATCTGTCTATTTATCAATTGATTAACTGATATACGAGTAACAGTTATGTAGATGAATCCTATATGTATGGTTCTGTGTATGTTTTATATCAGGGCTCAGACCAGCAACTCCTGACAACTTTTCAGCTTGCGAATTAGTCGCCCTAGCCATCGCGGTGTCTAACATATGTGTTATACCGGAACAAGCCAATGTCAGATAAAAAATAAAG